GCTCTTCAAATATTTTTCTTTTTTTATAATTTTATATACAATCTAATTTAAAATCAATGGTATAAGAGTTAAATAATAGTGGTAAGAAGAAATGCTTATTAATGTATTGTAATATATAGAATAAATAAATTATTTTATTGATATAACAACGTTCCATTAAAGAAATTGCCAATAGATCCATTAACATATTTTACTATTATATAGTTTACTTAATTCGAAAAACTGGAATTGAACAGTGAAGAAGAAGTCGTAATAAAAAGCGTCATAAAAAAATACGATGAGAGAACATTGAAGAGAAAATTACTTCGTCCAATAGATCAGCCTTCAATCCATATTGCTGATTATATTGTTTTATCAGTAGCAGGAGTCGGCGAAATATATTATAACAGATTGAGGATGTTCAAAATGACAAATGCTCCTCGTCTGTCACATATGGACTCACAATTAATTTATAAGAAAATTAATTTATTTTTGTCTTATAACGTTCAATAATAGGAACATTACATATTTATGCTTATGTTTTTTAAGTTTAACAAGAATTGTAAATACTGTAAATGAAGTACATACACTTCTTATGTATATAAATTATTGTAATTACAAAAGACATAAAATTTTCTGAAATTATATAGCAATTTAAAGCAAAAAATTCTGTGCGCTAAAAGAAATAAAGAATTACTTTTTAATTTTGGACTTTGAGGGATTACTTGAATGTTAATTCTGTTGCTTTAAACAACTAGATTGTGTGTTACAATCCTTTTTGATAAGTAATGTTTGTTTTTAATTAATTTATAGCATCGAATGAGATAGAGTACAGATCTTATATATTAAGAGAATATTCTTCGAGGTTTTAGCTTCAGTGTGATCCTCGCTGTCAGTTTCCCTAATAGATCTTTTTCTTTTATGTAAACTATCAGTATATAATTTTTTATGTAAATTTCCCTCTGCTTTATTTCATAATTGTGCTAAATGTTCACTACTTCATCATCTACTACTACATCATTTGCTTCCAAATTCTGGCTTTCTACTTGACAATATGTTTAAAATGATATTTGTATTAATAAATAATTATCATATACATACTTATTTTTCTGAATAGTTAATAGAAGCCTCTATTTTCACTTGATTCAGCTTAATTTTCACTTTTCATCATGACTGATTACAACCAGTTGAAAATTCTTCCAATATTGTGATCGCAATTTGACAACTCTGTAATGTAACACAACATTTAAGATTTATGTATTCAATTAAACTGATGTTAGTACTAATGATTACTACATACATGGCTAATGCATTTGCCAAACCATCTGCATTTTCTTGATCCAAATTTGTTGTTGATTCATCCAGGACAAGAATTCTGCGATCTTTATAGAATGTCTCTGTTAAGGCAAGTCATACAATTATAGATGTTAAAACCTGAAATTAATATTCTACAAATGAACAGGATTTATTGTTTTTAACAAGTATGTTTCTGCTAAAGGAAACTTTACTCTCTGTCCAGCACTACAGTGTATGATCAGCATCACCTATAGATTTGATAGCGCTGTGTAAGAATTTCTTCTCCTAATGAAACCTTCTAGTACTCTCTTCTCGGTTTTACTACCTCTATTATAACAAAATTAATTAACATCCGCGAAAATCATGTTTTTCCATACTTTAATAAAATTTTGACAATTAAATCAAAAACTGTTTTCAAGGTTTATTTTCCATATTTATCAAAAATACTAATCAAACTTAATTAAAAATTATTGCTTAACAAATGCAAAAAATATTTAATTACCTAAAGTTAAGAATGAATTTTTAAATATACTTAGTGAAAATTTCATTGCAATACCTCCAATGGTTCAGAAGTTATAAGAAAATTATAAGAAAATGCATTTCTCGATCTAGAGAATATTTTTATTTGAATTAAGTTTCTTTTTCATTCCTAATAGAAAACAACAGCTACACATCTCTAGATAATACCATTTATACATATAACAAAATCTCTCTCTCTCTCTCTCTCTCTCTGTACAGCTGATATCGACCTGCTGAATCCGTAATGTTACGTGACTACCCTGGCTTTAGAATTCACAATTTGAATTACCGCTTTTAAATCGCCATATTGAATTTTAGTTCGTCCAAGTTTGCAGCTACTTCAGATGGCAGTCAAAACAGTAACCCAAAAATTTACTAAGAGACGAGCCCTCTAATTGTTTGGTGGCAATAAACGTGTACAGCGCGAATATTTAAATGATAGAAATAGTATTTATGAAACATGTACTACAGAAATACGATATAGTTTATTTTTATGGACATTTGAGCAATCATTTCTACTAATTATGTAATTAGTGATGGTACATATATAGCAATAGTGCTATACATTTTTTCTTGCAGATGGATATATTTACGACGTTAATAAATTTATAAGCTTTATAATGGCAGCATACCTTTTAGGCCTTGGCAAATATAACAGTTCACAATATTTTAAATTTAATATGTATTTGTATGTATCTTTCATTTTGTAATAACATCTTTCAATACTAATAGAGACATTGTTATATTGTACACCGTAGCAAAACTGCAGGCAACATCGAGGCCACGAGGGATACGCCTTCAGGATCCGTATGGATCTCAAGTCTGTACCGTCAGTAAAGCAGGGAAGAAATCGCTTGAACGCTTTCGCGCAAGCATCGATAGTTTTCGTAAGGATATAACGCGGCAACAATGTACTTTTAAAAGCTGGCAACGCTGTAAATTTAGCCATCTCAGGCACATACTTTTCTGTGTGCAGTTAGATATAGTTCACTAGTTGACCGTTCCATTTAGGTAGAGTCCGCTATCGTACCAAGTTCAAGTTCAGGTTTGCTTTATTTAAAGGGACAGTCTTATCCTTTCAACATATCATTCTTACTACAATCTCACTACTTCGTTTTCTCTCTGTACACAAATACTATTTTATAGTTTTTCAACACAACATAACATAATATACTCTTTGGCTTAAAGTGAAACAAAAATAAAGAAATACAACATTTTTTTCTTAAAATTAATAATGCTTATATATACATGTGGTATAAATTGTAGACCGTTTTGTAACATTATCTTCTTATATAATCATAAACCATTCTACTATAATTTATATCCTTTACTTTCTATCGTACCATAGCATTTTCTACAGAGTCGGTAATTCAGACCCTAAGACAAAAAAAGCATTGCATGCAATATCTGTACGGATCCCAAGTCTGTGCAACAGTTTAAAATACTAGTTCGGTAAAACAGCGAACTTTAGACCATGAAAGTTCGTAAGGTGTTAGATCTATTCTTGTGTTTCGTCTATGATTTCACATTTGTACTTTTATAATTAAATAACTCTACCTTTGTAATGAACACATATGCATTTTATGCATTGCCCTTAATTCCTTTTGAAATATTGAACTATTAGAATATTAAGATGTTGGAATATTAAAATGAAAGCAATCATGCAATCACTGCACTCAAAATTGCATATGTACGTTATATGCTATATATGTACATATAAGTTTAGATACTGTAATCCAGTCACAGTAAGTATGGATATATGTATGTATATGCTTCACTATCCGGTGATGCTTATAAGAAATAATCATTAAATATTTTAATTATATAATTATCCTTACATACTGCACCGTTCATATGACAATTATAAAAATCTTTCAAAAGATTGTTAATAATTGTACATACTAATATTAATACTAATTGTAAATTTGTTTCTAATGTATTTATTATTAATAATCAATATAGGTAGATAACATCAAGTAAAAAAACATAGTTTACATTGTACGCACGTTTTAAGAACAACAGAGAAAAAGATTTAAAAAATATTTTTCGTGATCGCATTTTAATATGTATATAATTCGTAAAGTTCGTCAACAAAGTACATGTAGAAGATATCCCGCGCGTGATGAAGATATTAAAAAAATTGAATACATATGTTTTTATCGATAGAAGTTATAAGCATTGTAGTTTAAATCTTTCTCGCCAGAGCACGATTTTGGTACATTTTTCTTTTTCAAAAGATGGCTCGTTAGCGCGGCAACGCCTCTTCTCGGCCCAATTCTCCGATCATCGACCATTCACTGACATTCGACCACACATCGAGATTTCAAATGTTATCCTCCACAACACTGGCGGCATGTCGCGTTTAACGTGTTTCTTTAACAAAAAAGATATACAGCCTGATATATTAAGATTAACGTGTAATAAAGAATTAAACGCTGGTTCTTTTACCAAAAATGGCTGATTTCTAAATTTGTTTTATATATACGTATTAATACATGGTGAAAATTGTATAGATAAGTAAATAACCTAACGTATTATCGATCGTGTAAAACGCGCGTAAATATGCCGCGTACCAAAGCATCACCAAAAAAGTGCGTCAAAACAACTAACTCATATCCAGGAACAAATACATGGGTTTTCCTTATGAAAGGTGTTTAAGTTAATAACAATCACCTGTGCTTTCGAATTTTTGTGTTATGTGCTTGTCGTATTATTCACATATTTACCGGTGTTTTCTAAGACTTCTTTAAGAGTTATGATTAATTTTGCTTGTTTAAGTGTATTTAATGTATTTCCTTTCAATAAATTTATTGAAAATGTTATAGGTGATGGTTTGAGTAATACAGATGGAGGCATACCTGATGTGATTAAATTGAGGCATCCAGCTACAAACCAACCTGCTATGTTCGTGTTTAGTCCAGGCAATACAACAGTGCAAGAAGTTTTAACATTTGATGAGAACAAGAGATCATGGTTTATTGATGATAATGTAAAGTCCGATGGAAAAATGCATTTGTCCACCCCTATTGATCCAATATTTTTAGTATTGCCATATTTACGCAAGGTAAGTTCATAATTAATTTTTAACGGACCACACATTTGACTACAAAGTTACAATGAACAACTAATTTTGCACATAGCAACCTTGAGTATTAATTTATTTTCAATTTCATACTTGTAGACTCAACAAGCGCAACCGTTTGATCAATGTCTATGGGACGAAGATTTTCCAGAGACATCTCGTCTGTCTCAGTGTCAGAACTTAAAATTATCATTAGTTGCTGATCGCAAAGGAGATGAATCATTGCAAGCTTACAAGTTTAATGAAGAAAAGACATTAACTTGGCTACAGAAGAAGGTGGAAAGAGTAATTGATGTATTAAAACAAAAAGGTATTCATGTATCACAAGGTGCTATTAGTGCTACTTATGTTAAAAGTATTAAACTTGAAAGTGCTTCAGAAGCAGGTAAGTAACAATTAACATTTCATATGTTTCAAACTATATTAATTGTCTAATAAATATTGAATGTAATTATAACTAATATGTGTGTTAATTATTTTTTTTAGAATATTTAAGGTATGCTCATGGTATTGTGTCGGAGTATCTTTCAGAAGACTTATCTAAAAAATTAGCGCAGCACTTAAATATATCAGATGAAACAGAAAATAAGAAGCGAAAGTTAAGCAGTCCTCATGATAGCGAAGAAAAAAGGTCGAAGAAAGATACAACAGAAAATGAATCAATATTAAAACCGAAAGCAGCTGATCTATCCAAACCAGAAAAGGTAATTTCCTTGATAAGTATGAATATTTATTCATACCACATATATGTTTGTTTTAATAATTTAATAATTATAGATCCAAAAACCCACTATCGGTAAAAAGGAGTTAGCCAGGCAAAAGGCAGCAGCTGGATCTAAAAGTATTACCAATTTCTTTAAAAAGAAATAAAATATAAACAACTGTAAAAAGTAAACATTACAAATTTAAAATTTTGTGTACTGTAATGTGTATATATGATTTATCATAGGGATCTGTAATAATTGTTATCCAAGAATAGAGTCAAAATACTTTGTTATAACCTAGACATATTTTTAATTGCTGTTTAAATAATAGAAAAACGATCTTTTTATACTTTATTTGTAGACACTTTTATATTGCAATTTTTCTATGTTTAAATATCGAAGGCATTTATTTTAAATAATGATTGTGTTTAAATTTTACTTATAGATAAAATATATTGTAATTTATAAAGATGTGGGAATACTTAAGCATATATG